TATCATAAAAACAACCCAAATCAAAGATAGCAGTAACATTGCAGCTGTTGAATGCTTTTACGCAAAAGATGAATTTCCATTGTTTAACTGTATACTACCTTGAGTGCGGTGAGGCATGGATAAGTGTGATTGCTTCTCATTGTGTGGAACTGCTTCCAATCAATTATCCTGTTGACCATAACTGACCTACTTTATAATTTCATTCAAGAAGTAACTGTATGGTCACTCATCAATAGCCCCAAAACTATAAGAACTTTGAGTACAAAGTCTCTCAAGGACATACAATTTGGTGAGTTTATTTTTACATGCAATGTATTCAGAAGAGTTCAAAGTTGAATATTATCACTGAACCAAGGTGCGACTTTTTGTATCTGCTGAAAAAATAGCCTAACAAATTTTAGAAAAAACTGTGATAAAATATCTAAATCACGCTATTCTGAATACTAGTAGCTTAATAAAGCTATATAGCTAAATCAAGAGATTGTGTCGGACCTGTCCCAAAATGGCTGAATCTACTTCCTTGTTCGTGTTTCTCGGTTTAACGTGAACAGAACAGTACAGAGATTATGACTACGTGATATGACCTTACTTTCATTATCAACTACTTAATCTGTCAATACGTGTAGTTCCCACAATAATGTCGTTTTTCAAGTCAATGGCCTTGATGCTGGTTTCGCTGTCTTTTCCTCGATCTCACTTTTCATGCACCGTCTGCGTGTTTTGACCCTTAATCGGCAATATTCTCGGCTGATTCCGATATACCCCATACGAACGAGGACCTCCGAGTATCTTGGAACTAGCCTGGTTCCCTGTCCCTGTTTTGTTTCGTGTACTCCGCGTCACTGCCTTAAAAACCAGCGGAAACTCGGCTGTCTCCGTAAACTCCGACCAGTAGCACTGGTTCTCTGCCCTTGATTCTACTAACTGCCGCTAGGTTGGTTTTTCAGGGCGCTTGCGCCCGTTAACCAATGTCGGGGTATCAGTCTACTCCGACCAGCAGAGAGCTCGTCGGAGATTTACGGAGACAACCGAGTGTCTGGTTGAACGAGACTAGTTTTTTTGTATTTCGATCCCGATCTTTATTCATTTAAGGACCTACTCTCCACCCTAATTTCAGGGTACTTTTGTGTAGTTAGACTGACCCATCATTTGATATAGAAATAGAATGAATTTTTATCTGCACTGTATGACATAAATTAATATAAATCCAAGTATTCTAAACATCATATTAGACCAAGATAGAGTAGTAGAAAACTATTTGCATGTATTTTCTCCATTTGAGTAAGCAAAAGCGAATTTTATTTATAATTACTTCATTATCTTTGAAGATTTTTCCTGGATAAAAAAGGCACGCTCCCTATATTAAAAATGAATTAGTTAATTTCAAAACATCCTCCTTTACGCTATATAATTTTCTCAAAGTCCAAAAAACATTTTTCATCAGTGTATAGAGAGTCTTTAAATACGAGTCAGCAAATCGGTGAAAAAGTTTAATTTTTCAGAGTGGGCTAATATTTTTATGCCACCATCATTGAAAATTCGGGCCATACAGTTGTTGGTTTGTTTATCTGTATCCTCAAAAAAAAAAAAATTAATCTTGTTCATAACTTTTGAAGTTGAAAGCTAGACTTTAGTTGAAGCTATGACTTTAATTTTTACATGCATGGGTCTATTCTCTTTAGAGAAGTGGACAGGCTTTCGCCTACATCCACTTCTCTTCGCAAGCCTTCATGTTTTGATTCTGGAAAACGTGTAAATCTCGAACCGGTGACGGTCTACACTTCAACTGACATTTCGTCTAAAATACGTCTGAATGTACGTAATAGATGTGTTATATTAACAATTTTAACATAAATACACAGAATTAACAAGAAAACTGACCTTTAAAAAGAATCATTTATAAATGTATTTTCAAGAAGTAGTCATTCATTTTTTTTAAACAGATATAAGTTTTATCCGACAATTGGCCAACAGAAAGAAGCTTAAGGCCAATAAAGAGTAAATATCGGACCAATCATTCAACGAAGGGTCAACTTTGAGCTAACCTAACTAACCAATTGCAAATGTTGTTTCTATGTTGGATGTTAGTTGACTTACAATAATAACTATACGTTGGTCCAACAATATGCCATCTGACATTTCAACAAAGGGCCAACATTGGGCCAACCTAACCAACCAGTTGTTAAGGTTGGCTGTTAGTTGGCTTTTAGTTGGCTTAATTACGATTATACCAACAATATGCCATCATGTTGGACCAACGTTGGGCCAATGAGCAAAATGACCGTGGGCCAACGTAGGACTACCAACAGTGGGCCAACGTTGGGGAAAAAATGGGCCAACGTTGGCCCAACAGTGTCTTGCTATCTGGGCAGGTGGAGTAATAATACTGACGAATGAATGTTAAAAGTATATATTAGGTTCTTGTCGAAATCATTTTATGTAGTCTCTCTTTAAAAAAACAAACGTGATTTCAATCCCAGACAGATATTCCAAACCTCTGCAATAGATTCGATCGAACTATATTAATTAAATTTGCAATAATTTGCATTTTCGTTTAGAACCTCCATCAATACTGTAAATTATATTGAACGTAAATTGTCTACACACGCTCAAAAGTTGGATGGTACACAAGCTTCGGCCTGTCCCTTCCCCATGGGTATGACTGTTTAATTGAAATTTATGATCGATGTTCATGTATATTACAACTCTCCAAACGTGTATTAAATGTAAAATACAGTTAATAAAATTCATATCATAAATGTATTTTTTCCTGTATTTATTCCATTCAAGTATATTTGATTTCAGGTTTACAAAACAGCAATTCAATTTTATCATGTTTTTGTTCATTAATCACTGTCTAATTTTCAAAATATATTTTCAATTTAAAAAAAGAAAGAATTTTTTTTTTTAGTAAGCTAGAAAAAAAAGCGTTTGAATATTTTACGCCTCTGTGTAAAACAATGGGTTAAAGAATAACTTGAAAATAATCAATCTCATGTATTTTTATTTTTTTTTTTTTAATTGACAATTTTCAAATCAAAAAAGAAAACTGGGCCGGCGGATTTCGGGTCCAAATTTAAATGCCCCTATATAATTCCGCCATTGCGAATCGAAAATCGAAAATTCAATGGTTTTAATCTTATAGTTTTATTACTGAGTCACTGTCTAATTTTCAAAATTTATTTTCATTTTTTTTAGTTAGATAGAAATTACAAGCTAATTCAGAGAATCTGTGTCCTCCGCTCAAGGAAAAGGGAACAGCATGTGCGGATCTAGAGGGGAGGAGGTCAAAAGGGGGGAACACTTTAAGAGAGGCAGGCAGAGCTTTAGGGAGTTATGTTATAAAATTTCATTGCAAAAGCTCAAAAGGCTTTTGAGATATCGCCCGGAATTGAAAGTATTACACACAGACAGAATGTATGAATTTTTACCTTGACCTTTTGACCTCAAAATCAATAGGGGTCTTCCATAGGGAGTTGTGGTATAAAATTTCACTGCAAAAGCTCAAAGGCTTGAGATATTGCACGAAAACGGCAGTATTTATGAATTTATGACTTTGATCTTTGACCTTTTGACCTCAAAATCAATAAAGGTCTTCTTTAGGGAGTTGTAAGTTAAAATTTCATTGCAAAAGCTCAAAGGCTTCTCGAGATATCGCGTGGATATGAAAGTGTTACAGACAGACAGAAATGCAGACAGACAGATGGACGGACGAAAGACAGACCCAACTTTCAGTGAAAGCGGGGGACAAATATTGCGTTTGAATATTTCATGCCTTCATGTTTAACAGTGCATGGGATTGGAAAATAAAATCTTTTTATCTCATGCATTTTGCAACGTATACCTTTTTTAAATGACACTTCTGAAAAAAAAAAGAATTCCTGGCATGGTGGATTTGGAGTCCCGAATCCACCATTACGATTAAACTGGACCAAAAATTCAACTCCTTGTAAACTGTATAAAGAAGATACATTCTTTCTTATTATAGCTATCATACACGTATTTTAACACAAAAATTGACCAATTGTTCTCAATAGTTGCATGACTAAAGATAATTTAGATTCATGGCAGGTCACCGGTTGGGGTGGGGTTTGGGGGATCCCCCAATAATAGCATATTTTGGCTTGTCAAAGAATTTTTGTTTGGTAGCCCCCCCCCCCCCAAGTATGTTTCGCTGGTCCTTCAGAACTGAAAAATATTTAATGCTTCCTACAGGTCTGAGATTTAAAAAGGTAGTGATTCGTTGGGGTGCAATTTTCGCTGCATCCCGACATGCGTCAAATCGAGAAACCTCAGCTATACGATATGTTCAATTTTTTTTTTAATTCCAACAGTTCCAGCAGAGGATGGGTTTTCAAGTTGAGGATGGGCGGTCTAATCCCCCTTGTTTCATGCCACGGTCCAGAGTCTGCATATATACCTCTTATAGCATGAGAGAGGATCCTTCATTTTGGCCGTGGTTTGCAACGATGTCCAGACCCCTTTACCCTGAGAGTTGGTTTCTACTGGGGAAAAAATGGACTCTTTTAATTTGTATGATAGGTTTTTCAGATTTTTTTATTTATTTTTTTTTTAATTTTTATTTTTTATTTTATTTTATTATTATTATTATTATTATTTTTTGGTTTCATGATGTCCCCCCCCCCCCTAGGAAAAATTCCTGAATACGCACATTGTTTGATTTTTATAGAACAAGAAGGAAAAAAAGAATACCGCGGTACATGATATCTTCATTAAATATCCTTTCTATCTGTTTACTTGTTTAGGATTCTCGAATCCTTCACTTAGGATTCTCGAATCCTTCGCCTGTCCCCAAATGTATATATAGATAATGAGTAAAATTATAAATGACATGATCCAATTAAAGGGGTGTCTTTAGCGTTACATTTATTTATTTATTTATTTATTTATTTATTTATTTATTTATTTATTTATTTATTTATTTATCAATCTATCTATCTATCTATTATTATTTTTGCGTTTTTTAAAGCTCTCATTCACTCTCTTGTCGGTATATTGCAACATCAAAGGATTCTTTTTATCAATGATTGCGTAATCGATCAGCGACAGATAATCCGAGTAAGACAAAGCAGGGTTATCGCCCGTGAATAAGCTGTTGCATTGTGGGTATGGACGCGAAATTTGAATGGCTCCGAAAGAAAACAAACATTTCCCGACAGAGAACCGCTGATCCTCAGAATGAATTTATACGGTAAGAGAGTAAGATGTGTGTTATTGTTTGTACATTTTGTTGTACCTTTATTTATAGTCAGTGTTAAGCGCTAAAACATCGGGATCGGGATTCCATGGTGAGCGGTTGAAAATCTTTGTGCTCCGATTATTGGGAGTGTGTATTGCTCAAAATTTCTTTTTACTAGTTATCTAGCCCTCCAGAAACTAGAAAATCAATAGTAAGTGATGTCTAAACAATACCCAATTGGACACGCTGACGTTACCATTCAATCAGCGATTATACCAACCAACTAAGGACAGAGACAATTCGAACCAAATGAGTAGTATTTACACCTGAATATCCTAAAATGAACCTACATATGTTTATGATTATCTTAATATGGATACTATCCATATTATGTTCAGAAAATCTTGAGTTTAATGAAAAGAACACTGCTTACATAACAAAACAAACCTATAGTATACATGTATGGCTATCAAGAACTTTGCCTGCTCATCAGCATAGTATACATAACTACGTACGACCAAAGTGCCTCATCAAGCTATTATTACTTATTGGTGGTCAAGTCGAATGTAACCCAGGCCCAGTAAAGTATCCCTGTGGCATATGCACAAGGGCAGTAAAAACTGGTCAACGTGGTGTTGCCTGTGATAAATGTGACAAATGGTATCACACTTCGTGTATGTCCATGACTACCCCAGAGTATATCCATCTTGCTAACACATCCATAGTGTGGATTTGTAGTGCTTGCAACACCCCAAACAGCAGCAAGATCTACAATTCCATTTCAGTGGAAGAGAACACATACAACAGCCTCTCAGCCACGAATTCTGACATACTACATACATGCAGCCCATGCTCTTCCATTGGGAGTCCGTGTGCTACATCATCTCCTATCCGTGATCAGTCACCTCCCAAACAACAGAAACGGAAGTTTCTCAGAGTGGTATCACTAAACTTCCAAAGCATAAAAAACAAAGTTCATGAGACTGAGGTACTCATTGATAACTCAGAACCTGACATTATTGTAGGTACAGAGACTTGGCTGAATGAGAACATCTTCTCAGCAGAACTTATACCTACAACATACAATGTCTTCCGAAGGGATAGGGCTGACTCACATGGTGGAATCATCATTGCTGTCAAGAATGACTTGGTGTGTACGCCAGTCTACACCAGTAAAGACCATGAGCTCCTCTGTGTTAGACTTCATGTGAACAAGAAAAAGTCAATCATCATAGGAGCCTACTACCGCCCACCCAACATCACTTGCGAAAATAATGCACGCCTGGCTGTAGCAGAGATGAGCAAGGTTCGCTCGGATAATCCTAAGTGTGACTTTTGGATAGCGGGAGATTTTAACCTTCCAGACATTAACTGGCCTACCCAATCAATCATCTCCCATCAATACCCAAGCAAGATGTCGACAGAGTATTTGAACATCCCTGGTGATTGTGGAGTGGAGCAGCTTGTATGCACACCAACACGGGGAGACAAAATCCTAGACTTGTTCTTTACGAGCAACCCATCACTTGTGCAACGATGCAAAGTCATCCCAGGGGTAGGCGACCACGACGCAGTCTTGATTGACTCCTTAATCCAGCCGCTAAGAAGTAAACCGGCCCGTCGAGAAATATACTCATGGGATAAGGCAGATATGACATCTTTGCGAAGAGACATCAACAACTTTGTACAAGACTTTATCACCAGACCTTTCACTTCTGTTGACACTCTCTGGGAACTCTTTAGAGACTCCACACTTAGCATCATGAACCGACATGTTCCTCATAAGCTCACACGATCCAGGACATCAAACCCTTGGATCAATACAGCTAGCAGATGTTTATCATGCAGGAAACTACGTGCATTCCACAAAGCCAAGGCAACAAAGAAGCAGTGTGACCAGCAAAGGTACCTGTCTCTTAAATCAGAATGCCAGCGCACTATTCGTCTTGCCTATCAACAATACATGAATGACATTATCACCCCCAGGGCCTCAGAAAATCCCAAGAAATTCTGGTCATTTATTAAGAGCAAAAAACAAGAAGCCTCTGGTGTAGCACCATTAAGGAATACGGACGGGCTCATAACCAGCGACCCACAAGCCAAGGCGAATATATTAAACGAACAGTTTAAATCCGTATTTACAACGGAGGACACTAGCCGAGCTCCAGACAAGGGTCCCAGCCCATTCCTAACAATGGACAGCATAATCGTCAATCCACGTGGTGTGTACAAGCTATTAAGTAACTTACAACCACACAAGGCTACAGGACCAGATGCCATTTCAGCACGTTTTCTGAAGGAATTGGCAGAGGAGATTACACCTGCATTGACCTTTCTATTCCAAACGTCTTTGAATTGTGGATGTGTACCAGATGACTGGAAGACGGCCCATGTAGTCCCCATCTTTAAGAAAGGCGACAAGAGTGCAGCGGCAAATTATCGTCCTGTATCACTTACAGCAATTTGCTCCAAGATCCTGGAACACATTCTCCATTCTAACATCATGGACCACTTTGAAAGGAACTCTATCCTTACACCAGCACAGCACGGATTTCGTAGTAAGCGATCATGTGAGACTCAACTTATTGCCACAGTACAAGATCTTGCTAGTAGCCTATCGAATGGAAACCAGATTGACGTCATCTTACTGGATTTCGCCAAAGCATTCGATAAGGTACCACACCAACGTCTCCTCCACAAACTGAATTATTATGGGATTCGTGGCTGCACTCTACAATGGATAGAAAGTTTCTTATCAGACAGAAAACAGCGAGTATTGGTTGAAGGGATGTCCTCCAACATAGCAGACGTGAACTCCGGAGTACCTCAAGGCACAGTAATGGGTCCCCTATTATTTCTTGCCTACATCAATGACCTCCCGGAGGTGGTAACATCAAATGTTAAATTATTTGCAGACGACTGCCTCATTTACAGGACAATTCAATCAATCAATGACACAGTCCAACTCCAACAGGACTTATGTGCACTTGAGAAATGGGAAAAGGACTGGCAGATGACCTTTCACCCTCAGAAGTGTACCATTATCCACATATCTAAGAAACGCCATCCAATTAAAGAATCATACCAACTGCATAACCATACCCTGGAAGATGTCCCAAGTGGTAAATACCTTGGTATCACAATTAGCAAAGATCTTTCATGGCGCGAGCATATTAACTCAACTTCTGCCAAGGCCACGAGAACAATTGGATTTTTAAGAAGGAACCTCAGAAGTTGCCCACAGGCTATCAGAAGCAAGGCATACACTACGCTAGTACGTCCAGTATTGGAGTACGCGTCAGTGGTTTGGGATCCTTTCCAACATTTAATCCAACATCTAGAAGATGCTCAGCGCCGGGCAGCAAGGTTCGCCACAGGTGATTACTCATCAAGGGACCCAGGGAGTGTGACCACCATGCTATACCAACTCGGCTGGGAACCACTGGAACATCGGAGGGCCCGGAACCGAGTGATCATGTTCTACAAGATCTACCATCACATTGTGGAAGTTCCGGTACATCATGTGCTACATGTCACCAATAGCAGAACCCGTGGTTCTATGGCAAACAAAATCCGCCAAATCAGCACCAGGGTTGATGTCTACAAATACTCATTCATACCAGCAACTATCATAGCATGAAACAATATACCAGCCACAATTAGGAATTCACCATCAGTGGACACCTTCAGACATGCAATACAGTCCATCAGCGTGTCTGATATTCTACACCACTAAATTGTCCACTTTTAAATTTTTATCCCTTTTAATACGGTGTACATAGATTTTTAGCTGTTCACTACGGAATTACTGGAGTTTTAACACTCAAATTGAGTTTACTCCATCAAGGGAAGAAGAAGAAGAAGAAGTAAAACAGAATACAAGTTCAAGATAAACAAAGGATATCCGAAAGTATCAGTGCACATGGTTGTACATCACATGTTTGCGTGTAATGCTATGTTGTGATAGGGTTCAATAAATTGAATTATTGCTGTTTTGTATCTGCACGACACAGGATACTCTTGCTTTAATGTGAAAAAGGGGGAGGGGATATCGCCCATATTCTTTTCAGGGTCATGAGGTTTATTGTACATGTATACATACATTCATTGTAAAGTGATATATATGCCACACTTGAATCGATAAATTACTGCAACATGCGCATGCAACAGCAATGAGTTCTTCGAGAAAATTGTTAAGTACTTTCATTACTTCACTATGGGGGGGGGGGGGGGGTTGTGTTGTTACAATGAAACTGAATTGTGGTAAAGCTTAGCAACTGCTGTAGTTTGTATGGTAACTTAACAAAAGCTAAACCTCATACCATGAACTTTCAACTTGACCTACAATTGGATGCTGGTCACAAAGTGATATATATTTTTCAATCAGCTCCATCGAACCCTTTTTCCAAATCTAATATTAAAATGCTCTGTTTACATTTCCGTATAAAAATCTGTTGACTCTCATCAATAGGCCTAGTTGTCGCTGGAATGATTTTATAATTTATTTCTGTGAATGTACAATTAGCAATCATGATGAAAGCTTTAAATTACTAATTTTGGATCAGGACTTATGATAATATTGATAATCAATTAATGTATGTTCCAACTTCCAATAGATACAGCAAAATTAGACATATTTACTGTTTTCATTCGGAAACGGTTGATTGCATCATTATCCACGTGCTGATTAATATATGCATGATTGCTGGGACAACAATGTCTTATTTATTATGCAAGTAATACTATCAGGGACCTAGATACTTTTGATATTTTATTCTTCTCTTGAGTAGGCCTAACAGCTTTTCCTTTACCAGGGATCAGTCCCAGGTAATACTGTTTTAAATCTTCACTTCTTTAAATTTTTTGTTTAGTTTGGAAGAGCTGGTGAACACCTGTATATTGTGTGAAGATAGTTACAATCTTAAAATTGAACCTAAATCATGTAAATGCACAATTTTCATGCCACAAAACCAAGCAATCCTACTTCCAATTTTGTAAAATATGAACCACTT